TTTTTTAAGTGACAGAACCCGTCATATTGGGAAATATGTCTCCTTTCTGTTCTTTGTTTCACGCAAATGAACAGACGAAAGACAGATGTGTAAATAGTAACAGGTCCAGGTATTTAACATGTAATAGATGTTTATTTCATTCATATCACCTTTTTTTTTTCTTAAGATCACCCACACACTAAAAGAAAGAATGCTTTAGGAAAGTAATTACTGGAACCCAGTTGAAACCTCAGCTGTCTGTATCGGAAAGAAACAAACCTTTCAAGACGTCTATTTCTGTCTTGTAAGAAACAAGTCGGACAACCATCAGCATGGGAAGGGTTAACGAGTTGAACTAATCATCTTTTTCTTCTTCTTGAAATGAGTAAGAGAGGAAGAAATGCTGATTGGACCCCACAGAATTCTGAGAACTTAAAGAAGAAGAATAATGTTAAACTTCATGATGTGATGTGCTATCTGAGAATTTGCGCCCATGAGAGCAGGTGTTTTGTCACATTGTTGTGAAAACTCTGTCGCTCTCCATATGGCTTGTTTTAGCTACACACTCTTTGTATTTGCTGCCTTGGAAATGAAACTTGTAGCAGTAAAGTTGGTTTTATTTACACCCTTTTTCTTTTGTTTACGAATTACTGACCCCCCCAATCCATTGCCCGTTGTTGTGGTGGGGGCTTAGAAGACGAGGACTGGGACCCAATACTGAAGCTCTCCCCTGCCTTGGGCCTCAGCCCTCGACGCAACTAAACTCATTGGTCTTTTTCCCCTCTTGCAGTTTTGTTCCCAACCCCTTCTACTATCCACTTCCTAAGATATAAGAGTCCACCCCCTCTTCCCCTACCACACAATCACCCCCACCATCCTTTGCCCGTACTCTTGAGACACCAGTCCTCTCTTCCCCCCCTCACAAGAAATCCTTTACCCCCCAAAACTCCCCAACCAACTCCACAGAAGAAACTATTGAAAATATTCAAGATTACTTAATGAAAACCGACACTCAACCTACAACTCCTGCTCCTTCCACACTCCAAGTAATTGCTGATATCCATCCTCCTCCTAACGATATCCCCCCTACACCCTACCCTCCTACCCCCTCCCAACACAGCCCATTCCCCCTGACCCCAACCCTGCCCACATTAACTCTCCCACCATCCCCTCTATCCCTTCCACTCCCTCCTGGATACACACGTGAATCCCTTATGTCACAAGTATCCCCTTCCTCAGACCCTCCATCTCCTAATACCCCTCCTGATAGAACACCAACTCCCACACCTCTCCCATCTCAAACCTCTCAGTCCTTATCCCACCCTCTAGCTGCTTCCCCTTCAAATTCTCCAACACGTACTACAATCTATATCACTAAATCAACGAAAGTATAACTATCCTTCATTGGAATATTCGCGGTTTCCGCTCCCACAGACCTGACCATCATATCCTTTCCTCTTATAACCCATCTATTGTATGCCTTCAAGAAACCTTTCTTATGCATACCCTTTATCTAATATAACACCCGACCTTAACCCTTTCACTCACTAATTCCTTTGCCCAGCTTAGACAACTAATCACTAACTCAACCACCCTTCACTAACATTAACTATAGTGCTACATGACCTTAGATGTCTAGCACATTTATCTTGCTTTTAACCATTAACCATTAACCTAAGATGTAAGAGACGTGCTGAAAGGCTGAAAGGCTGACTTTGTGCCAGTCCTGAACTTCCTGAGTGAGCCATGGGCAGGGCATTCCCCTGTTTTAGATGTCTAGCCCTTGCCCCTGAAGGGGATCTGAGGGATAGACTGGTTCTCTCCCCAACATACTCTGGGCTTATCATGGCCAATAGGGGCAATGAGGCTTGCCCCTTCATCAAATAACACCGCCAAGTCAAACTCCCGGTTCCCTTTATCACCTCTACCTCCATAACTTTCTTCATCAGTCAACCCATCCTCCCTTATTACTATTTTACAGCGTTATTGTCCACCTCTCCATACTAGATCCCTCAACACTATTCCCTCTTCCACACGCCCCTATCATTCTACCACCCCCACCTGTACAAATATCTTACATACTCTATTTAGCCCAACCAAATGGGAGCGATTTTTCGTGACCCCCCACAGCTCTTCTTAACAACACTTCTCTTCCAGCAATGTCTCCTAAAACAAGTACGCAAAGTCTCTTTCCGTAGCCGACCCGATCGTTCCCGTCATATCACAGTTACGTCTGAAAACCAAGCTATAGCATTATCAACTCTAATTTGATCTTTCGGACAACCCCATTCATGCAGAAGCTCATCCCACCCTCAATGCTTGTACCGGAACTGTCTCTATCTCCCCAGCAAACTGCCCTATTTATAATAAAATCTGGTCAGATTGTGGAGACTCACTCGCCTGCCTCATGGACT